ATAAATTTGTTAGTCTCTAAGGTGCCACAAGTACTCCTGTTCTTTTTGCGGATACAGACTAACATGGCTGCTACTCTGAAACCATGGATTTTTAAATGTTTGTATGCCTTCTCAATTGACTTGTAATCAGTATAATGAGAAAAAAAATGTAACCAAATTGTAATAAAATAAACAAAAGTAGTAATAAAGGAACCAACGAAAACAAGCACCACAGTTTGCATCACCTTACACTCATTCCCATGGGAGTGAAGATTAGACCTACGTTTATCATCCCTGTCCCAAACCTGTTTTTTCAATGCTTATAGGAAGGATCCTGACATAGTCTTATTTGGTACCTTTATTGTCCATAAAATGTCAACACAGGAAGTTCAAAAACTTTCCATATACCTGTTAATTCTATTAGACAGGATGTCATCCTAAGTGTGTGTTGGGGGAAGTTTGTGCTATATCTGTAGGGATATAGTATCAGTACTGTTTTAACGTAGGCACTGCTTTCCTTCTTGTAATTGGCAGTCTTAGAGCAGGACCAGAAAAGTTCCCTTCTGTGTACAGTTTGTCTAATGTAACCTTAATAATAAATTTCATATGGTTCAGCCTGACTACTATACATTCTAATAAGCAGCTGTTGGGCCTGCACTAGAGATGAGATGTCCATCAGGAGAATGTCTTCCCTACTCTTCAGTTCCTAATTCTGTTTGTACGTTTCTTTACCACAGTTCCTTTTAGATTGGCTTGATAGAAGGGAGCCTTTCACAGCTGCTTTCTCCTGACCACAAAACTAACCATATCAAGGGAATTGATAATTACTTCTAGAAAGTAAAACTGCATTTGTTTATGTTGCTACCAGACCTCTTTGGGTGCATCTCCACTGCAGAATTAGTCTTGGCTCTTACTCAGCCATTGCCTCAACTTTCCTCCGGTCTGTACTGAAAACCATCTCTAACCTGGGTGGTGCGTTCATCCTGGGCTAGCTGCCGAGGCTGGGGTGTGGGTTAGAGCCTGGGTTCACTTTCACTCAGTCTGATAACCCACCCATTTTGCAGTGAGGTTAAATCACTGGAGTGCTCATAGTTGAGGGCCTTCTCGCAATTCCCCTCGTGTGCCGAGAAGAACAGACTAGTTATCTCATGGTTCACAGAGAGACAATTGGAGTGGCTCAGTTTACTGCAGCACAAAGAACCATGGGATATGCTCCCAGAAGTCCTAATGTGTCCTAGTGACACACATGGATGGAGCATCAATGAGGATACAGCACTTTGACCAAGACTTTTCACACAGGTGAGGGTAATGGAGGTGCCATTCGCCTGGGCTACCTCTGCAGAGAAGGCAGACATAGCTCTATTTCCCCCTCCCCCCCCAAAAGTGTCATCACTATGGGACAGAAGTGTCATGTTAGACTCTGGGTATGTCTACACTACAGGATTAATCCGAATTTAGATAATTCGAATTTGGGAAACAGATTGTATAAATTCGATTGTGCGCGGCCACACTAAGCACATTAATTCGGTTTTTAACCACATTAATTCGGTGGTGTGCGGCCACACTACCCCATTAATTTTAACCACATTAATTCGATGGTGTGCGGCCACACTACCCCTAATTCGAATTAACAAAATCGATTTTGGTGCTACTCCGCTCGTCGGGGTGGAGTACAGAAATCGATTTTAAGTGCCCTTTAATTCGAAGTAACTGGCTCCGTTGTGTGGACGGGTTAAGGATTAATTCGGATTAACGCAGCTAAATCCGAATTAAAGTCATAGTGTAGACCAGGCCTCTGTCTCTTTAAATGTACTGTTCCTTGTCACAAAGGGAGAGGAATTAAGACAAATATTTTATTTCTGCCTCATTTAAAACTCCTACAGGCTAAGTATAAAGAAAAAGAACAAAAAACCAGGAGTGGAAGTATGTATACATTTTGCTAGTAAAAATGCACTTTTTACATAAAGGAAAATCACTTTATCGAGAAATGTTTACAGGTTTTTGTCTAATCTAGTTTGTTAGAAAATGTTAGTAATAGACTCTGGTCTCTCCAGACCATTCACTCAGGAGATCTAATCTGTGTGTCTGATTAGATCTGAGTAATCCCCATTTTCCCCTCATAAAATACTGTTTTGTATTGGCTTAGTACTCTCAATTGTTTAGACTTTCAGCTTTCTCTAAGCACTACTTGCACCAATGAATGAGAGCACCATCTTCCATACTCTAGCAACAAATGCATGGTTTGGTGTCCAGTTTACGTCAGACCTCCCAAGTCAGTTACCCCAGTGTGTAATAATAAATAAATAAATAAGCGTAAATGTGTCCGTTTTGAAGATGCCTGGAGGACATCTTGCCAGGTTTTACAGGTCCCAGGTGGATCCTTCCTACACTACAATCCACACTAGTGATATTTTTATAGTCACATCCATCTTGCATACACACCTTAGAACATCATATTCCAGCTCAGTTGATTGGTAATAGGAACTTTTGCTTTTCACCATTGACAGAGCCCCTAGAATGGAAATAAAAAACAGGTGCTCTAATTATAAAAGAGCTAGAAAGTGAGATATCCTTTTAAAGATCAGCATCTCTTGAAAAATACTAGGTATGTCTATACTACAATAAAACACCCTCAGCTGGCCCGTGTCAGAGGGCTCAGGCTGTGGGGCTATAAAATGGCAGTATAGACATCCTGGCTGGGGCTGGAGACCAGGCTGTGGGACTCTCCTCCCAAACACTGCACTTTTATAGCTCTACAGCCCAGATCCGTGAGCCCATCAGCTGACATGGGCCAGCTTCAGGTGTTTTATTGCAGTGTAGGCATACCCAGTGTCTAAAAAATGAGTTCCCCAGATGCTAATAAAAAGATTAAGACAAGGATTGTGTTTGTCCACCCAGGTCTCCTTTATATCGTGTATCTCCTTAATAGATTCACTTACTGTCTCTTATCTCATGTTCAAAACTGATCATTATTACCACTATCTAGCTGCTTCTCCATCAACTCCAAGTAATGTTGAGGAAGCTTATCTCAGAAGGAAGGGAGATGAGCTGCATGGTATTAGTGAAGGGAATTGGGCAAAGACATCCCGCTGTGAGTGCTCTCTTCCAGCATGAGAAATGGACTGTTGGTTGCCTTCCTCCCCATAGGTACTTATGAAGCAGTTCAGGTCCTTAACATAGCAGGCACTAAGATGAGCAATGTGTAAATTAAATAAGTAATTTGGTGTAACCAGTTTATTTGGATTTCATAAAATTTAGCGTAGCGGGACTTTGCTTCCATTGCACTGCCTCATGAAATATGGCTAATGGGGAAAGCTGGTGTGGAGGAATGGGTTATTTTGAAGAATAATGTAACTCCACAGTTCTTGAAATTCTTGGTCTCTAACTTGAAAGGGGAAAATAGGGTTCCCATGCCAGTTGGTGTTTCCTCATAAGAATGGGAATTATGTGGGATTTGTGTAGGTTACGCTTAAAGCCTGGTCCTGCTATGAAGTGAGCTACCAAATCTTGTGGGTTATGGGGAGAAAATGGTTGTTGTGCAGTGAACGGGCTACTGTCCATCTAAAAGCCTCTTTTGTGTTCTCATTCTCTCCTTCTTTCCTCCCTCCCTGCCCCAATTACTGCCTTGAATATCAGGCCCATCCCCTGATGTATATGCAAGGGTAAGAAGCAGGGAAGATGGCAGGCTCCCTGCTTTGTCCCGCCACACAATATGACATGATCAGATAGCATAAATAACTTTTCTCTCACCATGAGATCACACCCACCTCATGAAAATAACCCTGCATTTGTTTTTATGAAGGAGTAAACAAAACACTTCATTTGGATTGGTCTAATGCCTCTTGCAGTCGCAAACTAAAATTAGTTTGAGTAATACTGAAAATCAAATTTGTAATGACCTATTTATGATTATGGCAATATGAAATTGCAGTGTCACTCATCCTATGAATACAACAGTATATAATTGCTTAGTAATCTAGTTCTGGCAGTTCCCCTGTAGGCAAGAAAAAGAAAGTCAGATCAGCTTGACAGTTGAAACACTGTTAAATCTACATACAACACTGTATCTGATATTTAGTTTATTTTCTAAAGCATAAATCTGATGTTATATTCCATTTTCATTTGCACTAGTACAATCAGTAAAATGGGAATTTTACTATATTTGCTATACTCATCTTATGTTCATTATAAAAAATTGGAGTGAGAATCTGGTGTATTTAATTGGGAGAGTGTTAAAAACAAATTAACAGCACCAACCAAGTCCATATCTAATTCATATGCCGTTCTTCTTTTATTTCTCAGTGCTCCCACAATAATTGTCATCCTTCTGAGATGATATCACCTATTGTGATGTGTTGTTTGAACAGTGTAGTGAAAGCAAAATCACCCAAAATGAGGGTCAGTCCAGGTGCTTGATCCCCTGTATAATAGGGCCTCTTCCAAGCTCTTTTCTGGGAGCAAGCACATGGATTTTTGGTCTTTCCACTTTATTAATTTTTGTGAAAGGAAGAGGAAAGAAATGTGAGTTTTGTGTAGTTCTTTTGCTTAGATTTTTAAAAGGCACTAGTCCTGACTGGATAAGTTCAGTGATAGCTCCAGTTATTCATTTTGCTATACGTTTAGAGATGAGATCTTGTGCTGTTTAACTGCATATATGATGGGCTTGTAGTCGTCTTTTATGCAAGGAAGGGAAGTAGGCACTCAGATGATGGGGCACCAGCATTAGTACCTTCCATACACTCAGGAATACAAAATATTTCCCCAAGATTAGTGGTATTTGGCTTTGCAGAGTTGATGAACCATTTCATCAAATGTGATTAGAAAAAGTCACTAAATCATGAAATTTTAGTCTGATCCTGTGGTTTTTACATTATGACAGTGCATTTTGTTGGGGGTGTGGGGCGGGTTCAAGCTTTGGGTGGTCTGCATTTTAAGTGTTTCATGTACCACCTTCCTTCTTATTTAAGGTCACAATATCCCTGTGGCAACTACAACAATTGGTTACATGGCAAGTAAGGAAAATTTTAACATTTTTATCTGTGTTTTAAATGAAGTCTAGCTTTTGGAAATGAGGAGCTAGCACCTTGTAACCGGCTAGCTCTCTACATACTTTTGTGTGAACCTCAACATTATGCAAACATTGCAACACAATGTCAGGAGACCTGTGGCTGTCTGCAGCTCCCTTTTAACATTGTCTTCCATCCTCTCCCTTCCTATCTTCCTCCCATCTTCGTGATGTGACAAGATCATATAATCACTGGTCCATTTGCTCAGCACTTCCCTTGCCCTCTGTAGATTTGTGACAACATGGGGGTTGAGAGACTATCCTATAATCAGCACTCAGCTCCCTCTGCCTGAAATCAGGCAGAAAGAAGGGAGCTTAAGAAAAAGCCACAAATGCCAGGAGAGCCATGTGCAGTATCCAAAAGGGTCGCTCTTCTAATTTGATCTCAAGTTTCTTAACATATTATTTTCTTTAGAGTAGGAGTAATCTCTTTTTGTCTGCTTAAATGCTAAGCAAAGGAGATTGTCTAAACTTCCATTTGCTGGTCAGGGCCCTTCACTTTTCTCCAAGTTACGCATTTGGGTATTAACCTTATTTAAATGTGGCATATTGAGTGCCCGTTGCTGAACTACAGACTTTCATTAGCTTCTAAAGTGAGACCACTATTATATAGTGAGCCTAGGCTGTTGGGAATTCTTGTCTGGTGTAGATATTAATATTTTATAAAGGGGTGAGCCTTGAAGGTCCTGTTTTCTTGAAGGCCTTTAGCAAGGATAGGGAGAACCTGTAGGATATAGTTTCTTCATTTACAACCCCTCTCGCTTGTCAAGGAGGGCTCAGTGTCACTATGGAGAGCCCATGAACTTCTCTGAGCAGCAGTGAAGGAGGAGAAGGGGGAAAGGAAATAGGTTCTAGACAGAGATTAATGATGTTTTCTTACCTTAACACTTCAAGTTACGGATTCAGCATTCAAAGTTCCTCAATATTAAGCACCAGACCCACAAGTAGTCCCGTTGATTTTAATGGAATCACTTGTGGAATGATGTTTTACTTTTCAGTATGAGAAAGGGCCAGATTCTGCCACACTAGAGGTGTGAGGGAACTAACTTCTGATGTGAAATCTGGACCTCTGCAGAGCTGCTGCTGACTTGTGGGCTTCCTCTTCTGACTTATTCTGGTCTGTTATAGGCACTGCCAGTCTGAGTAGTAGGCTCATTCCTGACACAATTCCACAGTGCAAGCTTAAAAATAAATCAGAGGACGATAACAGAGAAATACAGTGTTAACTCACCTCTACCCTAGATGTAATTTTATTTCTGGATTTCACCACAAGGTTCATGTGAAGAAATACTAATCCAGCTAAACCATTTTGTGTAAAATTGGTATTTTGTAAAGGAGAAGCCACTGTAACTCTGTCCAGATATCCTCTGTACAGTAGAATCTCAGAGTTATGAACCACCAGAGTTACGAACTGACCAGGCAACCACGCACCTCTTTTGGAACCGGAAGTATGCAATCAGGCAGCAGCAGAGATTTCCTTCTCCAATCAGGCAGCAGCAGAGATTCTCCCCCCCCCCCCCTCCCGGGGGGGGGAAAAAAGCAAATTCAATACAGTACTGTGTTAAACAAAAAAAGGGGGGGGGGAGAAGCTTTTCTTCTGCATAGTAAAGTTTCAAACCTGTATTAAGTCAGTGTTCAGTTGTCAATTTTTGAAAGAACCATAACGTTTTGTTCAAAGTTACAAATGTTTCAGAGTTACGAACAACCTCCATTCTCGAGGTGTTCGGAACTTTGAGGTTCTACTGTATTAGCATTTTGTTCTTACTGTATCTCTGACAATTACAACAATTGCTTACACGGAAAAGTAATAGGAAAATATATTTTTAGCTGTGTTTAAATGCAGCTAAGCAGTTGGAAATAAGGTGCCCTCTCCAAGGTTATCCAGATTTTACAAAAATATGAACACTGTCTAATGTATGTGAAGAATACTAGACTGTACTTTTAAAAGTAGAGTAATAAGATATTTTGGAATATTATGAAATCTGTAATTTCCCCCCTCTTTCTAGGTGCATTTTACCTGGTCTTTGAATATATGGACCATGACTTGATGGGACTCCTGGAATCTGGCTTGGTTCATTTTAATGAAAATCACATAAAGTCATTTATGAGACAGTTGATGGAGGGATTGGATTACTGCCATAAGAAGAACTTCCTGCACAGAGATATTAAATGTTCAAATATTCTACTAAATAATAGGTATGGATGTAACCAACTTTAAAGTGTTCACAAAGTTATAAAGTAACAGCTTAACCAAAAAACCTTTGATTTAATTCTAGCAATTTGTGTCACTTTCTTCTATCACTAGAAAAATAGACTTTAATTATTTAGGTTGCTTATTGCTACTTTTAAAACTAGCTTCAACTTTGAACCTAGTATCATTCAATTTAGGGTCTGTTCCTGCTGTTTACTCATTACTTCACCTGTGTGGAAACACCAAGATCAGGACTTAGGTTCATCAGCCAGCACTAAGAAATATAATTTCAGAGTTTAATCATTGAATCATAAAATAGATCTGGAAGAGACCTCTAGGCCATCTAGTCTATCCCCCTGTGCTGAGGCAGAAAGGACCATGTGTATCTAGACCAGTGGGGGGCAACCTGCGGCCCATCAGGGTAATCTGATTGTGAGCCGCGAGACATTTTGCTGACGTTGACTGTCCGCAGGCACGGCCCCCCGCAGCTCCCATTGGCCACGGTTTGCTGTTCCCGGCCAATGGGAGCTGTGGGAGAGCGACAGATAGCACGTCCTTGTGGCCTGCTGCTTCCCGCATCTCCCATTGGCTGGGAATGGCGAACCGCGGTCACTGGGAGCTGTGGAGGGGCCGTGCCTGCAACGGTCAACGTCAGCAAAATGTCTCGCGGCCGGCAATCAGATTACCCTGATGAGCCACATGCGGCCTGCAGGCCGCAGCTTGCCTACAACTGATCTAGACCATCCTTGGCAGGTATTTATCTAATCTGTTCTTAAAAACTTCCTATGACAGGGTTTCCACCACCTCCCTTGGAAACCTATTCCAATGCTTAACTCTACTTACAGTTAGAAAGTTTTCCTAATTATAACCTAAATCTCCCTTTGTGCAGATTAAGCTGGTTACCTCTTGTCTTACTTTCAGTGGACACTGAGAACAGTTGATCACTGCCCTCTTTATAACAACCTTTAACATATTTGAAAACTGTTATAGGTGTCACTTCAGGCTTCTTTCCTCAAGACTAAACATACCCAGTTAAGTTGACTAATGAGGAAAGGTTATTCTCCTTTTATCATTTCTGTTGCTCTCCTCTGGACTCTCCAATTTATCCACATCTCTCCTAAAGTGTGGCACCCAAAACTGGACACAGTATTCCGACTGAGGGCTCACCAGTGCCAATTAAAGTGAATCAGTTACCTCCTCTGTCTTACATAAAACACCCCTGTTATTAAACTACAGTATTTTAGCCTTTTTCGCATCTGCATCACATTGTTGACTCATATTCAACATTCAATATATGCATTATAACCCCCAGATCATTTTCAGCAATACTCCTGCCTGCTTTGATTTTTTCCTTTCTAAGTTTAGTACTTTGAACATTTATTTAATTTCATCTCGTTGATTGCAGACTAATTCTCCAAAATGTCAAAGTTATTTTGAATTCTAATCCTGTCCTCCAAAGTTTTTATAACCCCTCTAAGCTTGATATCATTAGCAGATTTTATTAGCAGTCTCTCCACTCCATTATCCAAGTCATTAACAAAAATAATGAATAGTACCGGATGCAGAACAGATCCCGTGGGTCCCCACTTCATACATTCTCCCACTTAGACAGTGAACCATTGATAACTACTCTTCGAGTATGGGTTTTCAACCAGTATGTGCCCACCTTTATAATAGTTTCTTCTAGACCACATTTCCCTAGTTTGCTTATGAAAATGTTATGTGGGATGGTCAAAAGTTGTACTAAAATTCAGATAAAACATATCTACTGCTTCCCGCCCCATAGTTCACTAAGCCAATAACCCTGTCAAAGGAGAAAATTAGCATAGTTTGGCATGATTTGTTCTTGACAAATCTATGTTGGCTATTATTTATTATCCTGTTATCTTCTAGGTGCTTACTAATTGATTCTTTAATAATTTGTTCCAATGTCTTTCCAGGTATTGAAGTTAGGCTGACTGGTCTAATTCCCCGGGTCCTCTTTGTTTCCCTTTTTAAAGATAGGTACTCTATTTGTCCTTCTCCAGTCCTCTGGGACCTCACCCATCCTCCATGAATTCAGAGATAATTGCTAGATTCCGAGATTGCTTCATCTAGTTCTTTAAGTACCTTAAGGTGATTTCATCAGGCCGTGTTGACTTGAATACATCTAACTTATCTAAATATTCTTTAACCTGTTATTTTCCTATTTTGACTTATGTTCCTTCCTTCTTGTTAATATTAAGTATCTGGTCTCAAAAAATTTTTAGTGAAGACTGGAGCAAAATAGGTATTAAACACTTCAGTCTTCTTGGTGTCTGTTATTAGCCTTCCCTGCTAAGTAGTGGATCTACACTTTCTTCTTTTCCTTGTTCCTAATGTATTTCTAGAACCTTTTCTATCAAGGCTATCAATAGCCTTTTGTCCCTTGCTTGGTATAACTCATTTTGTGCCTTAGCCTCTCTGAGTTTTGTCCCTATGTGCTATTCTTTTGTTCCCATCCATAGCAATTTGTCCTTGTTTTCATTCTTTTAAGATTCCTTTTTGATTTGCAGCTCATTAAAGAGCTCCTGATGCAATGGCTTCCTAGGTTTTTTTCCTTCCTTTCTTTCCTTTGCATCGGGATAGTTTGCCTTTAATATTTTGTCTCTGATAAATTGCAGCTCTTTTGAACTCCTTTTTCCCTTAGATTGTCTTCCTATGGGACCCTGACTCCCAGTTCTCTGAGTTTATTGGTCTGCCTTTTTGGAGTCGCTCTCATTCCTTCCTTTCTAAGAATCATGAAGGCTATCCTTTTGTGATCACTTTCACCCAAATTGCCTTCAACCTTCAGATTCACAATCGGTTTCTCCCTGTTCACCAGAATGAAGTCTAAAATGGCTGCTTCCCCTGGTTTCTTCCTCCTCCTGAAACAGGTTGCCCCTAACATATTCCAATAAGTGGACATTTTATGTTTTTCTGTATTATTTTTCCAACAGGTATCTGGATACTTAAAGTCCCCCATTACAGCCAGGTCTTGTGTTTGGATATTTTTGTTAGTTGTATTTGTCATATTAAATTAGAATATGTGAAAGCGTAGTTTCTGACCTGTGCTTTCTTGACTATCTGATCTTATAGTCAAATGCGCGTAGACTCATCTATCACGTTGTATAATACTGAAGACCTCATCTTTCGGGAGTATAGAAGTACAGTGTTTCGATTTAAAAGAATATGCAACCAGGTGTGTTCAAACACATATTTTAGGTACACACTGATACTCTTGCTCACAAGTGCAGTGATAAGCCATGTTTCACACATATGTATATAAACATAAGCCTCGGTGCATGTGTGGAACTGCCAATAGAAGTTGGTCCAATACAAGGTATTGCCTCAAACCCCCCCCCCCCGTCTCTCTAATATCCTGGGATATAAATAAAAATATACAAATAAATCCTGGGATATAAATAAACATAGTACATAACATTTAGAAATAAAGGATTTTTTAAAATCGACAAACTTTGTGAAAGCACCATGTCTTTTTCTTTCCTTATAGAAATTTATGAATGTCCTTTCTAGTGTAAGTCATCCAACCTTCCAGATTGGCATGGTATGTTGCCTGTTGAGCAGCAGCATCCTTTATGCCTTTTGAATTATCACTCTTAAAATCCCAACTTTAGCCTTTGATACAAATGGAGTGTTTAGTTTTGTATGCTTCCCACAAGGAGGTGCAATTGCTGATAGTCACTTGCTATGCAAATACTTGATTTAATATTTTTTATTATCTACAGTTACCAGTAAATAGGCCAATTTACTGAGTAAAACGTTACTGAAGTGTGAATTAGTAATCTCCACAGCCCTAAAGCCAGGCTTAAAATGTACAAAAATGACAGTCTCCCCCTTCAAAGTTTTATCAACATAATAAGTACAGTTGTGTGTTATTAGTTGATTATTTTATAAAGTATACCCTGAATGTTCATTAGTATTCTTTGAAGTGTATATGTGCATTTTTCAAAAAGAAATACATCATTTCACAATCCATTATGGTTTGTTTTTTAAAATTGCATTGGTTAGCATACTTATTAATTGAGAAGATGCAGTAATTTGTAATGGTTCTCCTGGTGACTAGTGTGAATTAGTGAAGTTTAACTGTAGATGTGTTAGAGCATTTTAAACATCTGTTTGGTTTTTAAATCTGTTGACAAGATTAATCAGTAAAAATTCTTTACTCTTTCCACCAGAGGGCAGATTAAGCTTGCAGATTTTGGGCTTGCTCGACTGTATAGCTCAGAGGAGAGGTAAGACAACTCTGTTCTGTTAAATATATATATTTAAAGCATAGGTCTCTGTGATTATCAGGGCTAGGGATGCTTTTTTCTGTAGAGGGAAGTTTAAGTCAAATCACATTTTTAATATGGCATCCTCTTTTCTGATTAAATATCTGAAATGATAGAAGTAAAGGTTTGTAATGTGCAGCTATGCAGTGGTTTATGTTGGTATAGTGCAGTTATATTCATGCTTTAATTCAATTTCAGTTGAGTTGTCAAAGTATAATAGCTGTATGTTGATAAACATTTGTCAGGCCATCTAACTAAACAACTAGCATAAAAAGTTGTGAAGCCCCGGAGGGAGGGAGGTCAGTCACCTGGTATGTGTGCACGGTAGTAAAACCACAAACATAAAACTCAAGTGTAAATGAATTATATTGAGTGGGAAAGAGGAACACCTCTCATCCTGGTTCTTTAAAAGTACAAGGATTCTTTCTGCAATACCAAAGCTATAGTCTCTCCAGAATACCATGGACAAAGAACTTTGGGGAGATGGGAATCTGTTTATGCACTTTCCTTTCAAACTCTGAACTTCAGTTAAATATGTGGTGTTCTTTCTCCCTTATTGTATCATAAATACCATTAGAGAGGCTTGCTTCTTGAGTTAAAGGATAATCTCCATTAGCTGTAATAGCACAGATATAGATTATTTTTTTTAATAAAGAGCTCTGACTAGTGACATCACAATTAATACTTTCATTTTCAGTCTAAACTGACTGGAGATGAAGGATGCAGATTTACAGTTAGGATGTGGTCTGCTTAAACATTTCAATATTACTCCTGCTTCCATAAATTAACGGGCATATTCTGCCTTTTTGGAGCAAATTGATAAATTAGACGTTAATAAGTCACCAGACCAGATGGTATTCACCCAAGAGTTCTGAAGGAACTCAAATGTGAAATTGCTGAACTACTAGCTGTGGTATGTAACCTATCATTTAAATCAGCTTCTGTACCAGATGACTGGAGGATAGCTAATGTGACGCCAATTTTTTAAAAAGGCTCCAGAGGTGATCCCAGCAATTACAGGCCAGTAAGCCTTTTTTTGAGAAGGCTTTTGATAGCATTCACAGGACCAGCCTATAGTGCATTCTGCGGGCCTGTGGAATCCCTCTCCGTATAATCAACATCATCAAAAGCTTTTATTTCAACTTTACATGCAATGTTGATCCCAGTGAGCTCAGTTTTTGCATCTCATTCCTGATTCAATCTCTCATTGAGTACGTCTTCTGTTCAGTAATAGTAGGATTTAATGAACATTTAAGGATTGTGCTGTAACAATTTTTCCACATTGTTGCTAACTGAACTATATTTTTTGACAATTGATTTACTGATCTGATTAAACAGTATTTAGAAGGATTTGGGACCTTGAAGCAGCAGAAGAAATTTCTTAAAGCATTACTTTAATGCTAGAATCACTGAAAAATATTGTGTATCTCATTTATCAAAATTTGAAAAGTCTGAAAGCAAGCTTTTAAAAAATAAGCTGTATGCACTTGTGTGCTTAACTTATGCATGCATAGATCTTGAGTGTACAAAGGGGGTAATTGTACATGCAAATGAATAATTATGGCCATTTTTGTACATATTTACCCAACTTCCACTCAGAGTTGTGGTAATTTCACTCACAATTGTGCATCTAACTTTTTAAAAAATCACTTCTGAATGTATAACACTTTCCAGCTAGAAGGTGTGACATATTACATAAGAACATACCTGTTGAAACAGAAAGTAGTGTCTAGAAATCTTTAACAATTGAATATTGATAGGTTTGACTTTTTTTGTTACTGAGTTTCTCTATCTAAATACTTCTGAAAATAATACTCTCTTCTGGAATAAATCTGGCAGATCTGTAGAGGGTGGAGTAAAATTTCCCACAAGAAGTCCCATTTTCAAAAGTGACTTAAGAGCCTAAGCCATTTAGGCACTTTTGAAAATGTTTCCAGTAGAGTGAGTGAGTGAGTGTGTGTGTGTGTGTGTGTGTGTGTGCTTGTGGGGCCACCAGAGGGGATTGTTTTAGTGTAAAGTTATCACGTTTATGCCCCCTTCAGTAAATACAGAAGTCCATATTGTAGATCAGTGTGTTCAGTTGATTAGGCAGTTGCACTGAACATAACAGTGGTGTCATTTGCAATGTGGAATGTTCACCTGCTGTGGAAGGCAGAAATTGCTTGTAACTTCGTTTTATTTAAGCACATATAAGTTATTCAAATACATTACTTTATACCTATGTGTATTTGCAATTGAAACCTAATGCTTTATTAAAGATGACAGATGTGAAACAGTGCTTTTCAGTTATCCAAAAACTATTCCTGGAAAGCTGGGATAGGTAATTTCTGTTGTATTAGCTGCTGTCTTGAAAACTGTTAATACTGAAACATTGCTATTCACTGTCTAAAATATTGGAGTCTCAGCTTTCAAATTGTGTAAAATGTTACAAAACCTCAAGTTACATAATATTAATGGCTAAAATCATACTGGTGATTGGGGGTGTGGTGACAGAAGATAATTTGCAATCATGTATTCTGTGGCAAGGGCTGCTGAAAACTGAATATTCTATTGCATCTCGTAAGGATATACAAAAATAGAGACTTCTACTGAGATTTGGCAATAGCACTGTTTTATTTTGATACATTCCATTATTTTATTGTCCCCAAACTTTGTTTTCAGTCTGATAAAACTAAAGTAGATTGCCTCAGAACACTGCAGAAGTCTTTCAGTGGGAGCTGGAAGTTTTGATAGCTTGCGAATGTAAAGTTGGGGCTGTTGGAATCCAGGAAGATCTGGGAGTTTTGAAACTCAAGAGGCAGTTGAAACTTGTGATAGTAGGGAACGGCTGCTTCTATGCTTCTCTCCTTTGTGGAGAAGGGCAGAGGTGACTTGAATCCATCCCCCCCCCCCCCCCACTGTTGAACTCTTTGTTCAGCACTTCAGCAACCAACTCCTTTGTGCCAGTAACTGCACCTAACAGCAGTGGATGGAGATATTAACTGAAGTCTTATTGCTAAAATGAATAGCAATTAAATAGCAGTATAGGTATTTAACACTGAAGCCTGATGATATTTTTAATGCCCCATGAAGATGGTTATGTTTACTTATCTCTGAGATACTGTTTCAGGCTATCCTTTGGTAGATTTAAGTAATGACTTTCTATATAGTGGCAGCAGCCTCAGTATTGGTAAAAAGGGAATGAAAAAATGGAACATTCATAAAACAATATTGTAGTAGTGAAACCTCAAACTTTTATTAGTTCACTACAATCTCATTTTAAGAGAAATGTTGAATCTCTCTATCTTCTTTTTTTCAGTCGACCATATACCAACAAAGTTATTACTTTATGGTACCGGCCTCCTGAACTTCTGCTTGGAGAGGAAAGATATACGCCAGCCATAGATGTCTGGAGCTGTGGGTAAGAAGTTTTAATACAAAAGTGTTAAGTGTAAATCATGAACTAAAATAAATCTCAAATAAATTTATATAAAATGATATTGATGGAATTATATAAAACTTTATTTTACAGCTGTATCCTGGGTGAACTTTTTACTAAAAAACCAATATTTCAAGCAAATCAGGAACTTGCTCAGCTGGAACTAATAAGGTAATTTTTAGATTCCACAGTGTGGTTGGTGCTTTACAAAATCATAGACAGCACTTTTATTTTTCATGAGCATTCAAAAAAATGGAGTTACAATATTAACATTTAAAAATTGTCAGAAGTTGTTTCTTAGAATAAAAATGGTGGTAGCTTTTGGGGAGATGTAAAACAAATTATTCAGAATTGGAGAAGTGCTTAGTAGCTTTCCATGGCATAGGAATGCAGTGGTAGGTAGGATTTTTTTATAGTGTAGCTGGAGTTACCCCTTACTGAAGCCCATCTCACAACAGGGCATTTGACATGCTCACCTTTTTAAGCAGGTGAGACTGCAGCTTCCTTACTCCATTCTCCCATCAGCAGGTTAAAAGGCCAACATGGAGAATAATGAATGACTGTTTTAAAGGGAAAGCTTTGCTCAAGGCTAGGTTCTCTGCATACTGCTGGTCCTATGCTGCTTTTTCATTCTCCCACATGTCTGCAACTGGCTTCTGTCTGCTGCAGAAGGGAGTGTTTCTCCTCTTTCCCTCAAGACTTGCCAGATATCTTGGGGAGGTAAAGGCTTTCTTCACCTTCCCACCCCAGTGGATCTTCTCAGGCAATAGCTGTTCGAATTAGTAGAGTCAGAGGCTCTTTTCTCTATTCAGGTGGCAAATGCTGTCTCCTGCTTCTAATATCATAATCAACCTAGGTAGTGGGGTGGAATCTTCTTCCTACAAAAGAAAAAGAGGATGAGTCAGTGAATTGCTCCTTTATCTTGATCTCTCTTCACATGAGGTCAAATATTTGATTCTGAAAAGCAGTAAGTTACATGGGCTGTAAATGCTGTATGTAACATGTAGGAAAGTTGGTCTGTACAAGTATAACAACCTTTTAGAAGGTGCAAAACATGGCGATGGTCACCCTGTTGTCATTTTACACTACTGAAACAACTCATGTTGTGTGAATGTTTGTTGTTTTTGCTTTAACCACAAGATGGCAGTGCTGCACTTAATTCCAGTTCTGGCTTTCTTTACCAAACTGGACATAGTTTTGTATAGCGTGAATTGATGTCATTTTTAAAATTTATTTTGATATCAAAAGGACACTGTCAACTAATTGTTCATAGCTTAATTTTTTTCTCTTTATTGATGCTGTACATTAAAAAATGTAATACATTAGGACTGTTCCCAGCACATTTTAACTGGAACCTAAACCACCTATAATGGAATAGTTCTTAGTCATATCATTGTCAATTTTTAACTTGCAAGCCACTTTTAATTAATTTTGATGCCTCTACCAACATCATAGGTGACCATCAATATTTTGTGAATTTTTTATTTTCCCCAATGGTCTTTCCCCCAAGTATTTCAAGAGCACAGGAATCAGGAAAAAGTCTATTTGAATCAGGAAAAAGTCTAGAGGAAAAAGTAGCATTGTCTTAACTTCTTTTTCAGAATATGCTTTAGATCATATAAATAGGCACAAAGGCGGCAGAGTGGTCTAAAGATAGTCTATAGATAAGTCTCTAGAAAATACTTCTAGTCTTCCGGGAACCCAAAGGCCATAAAAGGTGGTAGGCTCTTCTGCCCAAGACCACTCTATTTATAGGAAAAACTTGCTGTAGAAGTTGAAAACAAACATCGGCAAGGTTGCGAGCTGCAGCATCAACCAGACATTTATGCAAATTTAGCTTTCTGGCTGCGAGGCCCACAAAGTGTAAACCCTACTTTTCACACTTAGTGGCCTTGTCTAGACTAGGATGAAAGAGGTACTGTTAGAACATGTTACTAACACTTTTGATAAAGCCTAGTGTAGACGAGGCCCATTGCCTTCAACATGGGCTGAGATTTGTTGAGTTAAAGCCTGAGGAAAGCTTGGGTTTTAACTCCATCAGGTTTGCTTGTATTAAAGTCTACACTGCCTGGTGCACAACAGACTTTTGAAAAATGTGGTGGCTAACACATTGGAACACCCCATCTTTAAATCCTATTCTAGACAAAGCCAGTGGAAGGGACAGACTTGTGCAACCACATGTCGGGAGGTGGGCTGGCTCAGTGACCCTTTTCTTTGGCCAAAAGATGGTTTTAATTTTTTTAATTCAAGCCCCGGTCCTTTCTTAAATTTAAAAACCATCTCACCTCTGCCACCACCTTTAGTCCTCACAAGGCTCCTTCCTGTTCTTTAGCAGATAACTAAATTCTTAGTCAGCAATGGAGTGGTGTTTACTCCAGTCATTTGTCAGAGTTCCTTTCCACACCAAGAGTAAAAAAAAGAGAAACGTACTAGATTTAAATTAATCCAAATTCACTCCTGACCTTTAAATTTCTCTCCTGTCTAGAGGGAGATTCTAGTTTCTGGAAGAAACTGACCTTGCGTTAGGGTACATAGAATGCTACCTCAGCATGCTCAGTGGAGTCTTCTATCATTTTCAAGAACACAGTGATTGTTTATAAAGAGCCTCTACTTTGGAGAAGTGTGGGGGAGGTAACCATTTTTCTAGTGGGGTATTCTTTGGCCTCTTAAGAGTGGGTATTTACCTACGCTTCTTCGCCAACTCTTGAAAAACTTCATGGCCATGGATCACAGGAGGCCTGTGAATATGTCCATGGAGACTAGAATTTGTTTTCTTTGTATTAACAATGCCTGTGAGTATAAAACTGCAACTACACACCTTGTTGTGTTTGATTTCATACATTGATGGTTTTGTTTTGTTTGTTTGTTTTTGGTGTATAGCCGAATTTGTGGGAGTCCTTGTCCTGCAGTCTGGCCTGATGTAATAAAGTTAGCCTATTTCAACACCATGAAACCAAAGAAGCAGTATCGTCGAAAATTGAGAGAAGAGTTTGCTTTGTAAGGATGGAGACTTCATTTAACCATCTGTATTCCATTAATTTTTCTTAGGTCCTTTAAGAATTTCAGTATTTTTCAAAGATTTGTTTCTGGGTTCAGTCAAATGTAGAGAGAAGTGACCTGAAGTTCCTATCCTTCCCTTGATACACATGCTGAGCTATTATTATTGTTAGTTAATGGGAGCTGTGTATATGTATCAAGGAAGGGGGAATTGACCCAAATATTTCAGCCACCTGACAGCTTTGTACTTCGGAAATGGTTGCTTTTTGGGCCTGCGTGCACCTGCTCATTGTCCCTATGGCTAAAAGCAGCTCGGGGTACTTAGTCACTTTTAATTGTGATTGGCTAACATTAGGGACTTGTTAGTCATAAATTCAGTATATAAGACTAATTCTCTAAGCCATGTATCCTAAAATAATGCCATTGGAGTTGTCTCATGCAAATAACAAACATGAAAGTTACAGAAAACATCTGTAAGATTATTTTAAAAACTGCCTTTTCTCCTTCAGCTATTTTGGGGTTTAGGAAAATGTATCATCCTGTTTATATTAGTGGAGCCTACTTGTGTAACTTTAAAGCAATAGAATTATTGTCTGTAGCCCAATTAAAAAGTATAAATCTCTTTGTGCTAAATTCCAAGTATATAGTAATATTAGACCCTTATTAAAAGGAAAACTTTTAAAACAAATGTATTAATATAAAGCCCAAGTTTTAAATCATACAATTAAACTCTACTTGACAACATTAAAAAATACAAGTTTTATAGCATAAAGACGTGGCATCTGAAATAACACAAATGTGGGACCCCCCCTATTTCTCTCTCCTTCTTGCCAGTATTCCACCAGCTGCATTAGATCTGTTTGATTATATGCTTGCTTTGGACCCTAGCAAGCGTTGCACAGCTGAACAGGCTCTTCAGTGTGAGTTTCTGCGAGATGTAGAACCTTCTAAAATGCCTCCACCAGAGTAAGTTACTTCCTGTGGTAATGTCAGTGCTTACGTGATACAAAATGGGAGTATGTATTTAATGTTCATTGTGTAGTGGTGAAAACAAAGGTAGTACAAACATAATACCTAATGTGTCAGATATTAGTAACCGTCCCATTAAGAGAACTGCAAAGTTCAGTGGCTCCTGTACCATGAATGAGAACTGTTCCCTAATTCCATGTTTGATTTGTTAGTCAGACGTTCTGTACATCTTTCCTAGAGTTAGTGACCTGCAAGTGTATTTAGAAGAATGAATGTCTCCAAACAACAAGGGTAAAAAAACAAAAACGTTTATTCCCCTATTTTAATGCAAAGGTTCTGGATTACTGTTTAGAGGATTGCAGGTTGCTGAGTTCTTATACTAGAGCACCTTTCCTTTTTGTATACTCTATCAATCCAAGTAGACAGCATTGTCATGTTGAGAAAATAAATATTCATTTTGTTCTGCCATTTGTTTATGAAATGAAGCGAATTGATAAACATTTTCAGCTAGGAAGCTCTTCTGAGATTATACTTGCATTACACACTTGTTATGAGTATGGATTCACAGAATCCCAACAGACTCACCTTTTCAGATCTTATGTTGTATATTGAGCATTTATTTTAATATTTTGTACAAAGAAAATGCTGAATATTTACCATTCTTCTTTACAGCCTTCCTTTGTGGCAAGATTGTCATGAACTGTGGAGTAAGAAACGTAGACGGCAGAAGCAGATGGGCATGGCAGACGACACAACAGCAGCTAAAATTCCTAGGAAGGATTTGTCTTTAGGCCTGGATGATAGCAGAACCAACACCCCACAAGGCATGCAGACTTCTTCCAAACTCACAACTCAGGGCAACTCTAGTGTAGCACTTGGTCAGTAATCTTTCTTGTCGTTTTTAAATTGTCTATTACTTGCTGACTATGCATTTAGAAATTTAGATGTTAACACTTTCAAAATCTTGAAAGCTCTTGGAATTCTTAAGGGAAACAAAATAGTGTACATTTAAAAAATGCTAAAGATTTATCTTGTCCTCAGTAGTCAGGCATTCCCAATATGACTTGCATAATGAGTTTTCACCTTGACCAGTGTCAAAGTTTTTAAATATTTTGACCTGCCTGGTAGTAATTTCAATTTTCTGGGGGGGGTCTATTGTCCACCTCAGGGTTTATTAAACCCCACCCATGAGCAGCTGCTCTAACTCACATTATACAACTCTTCATAGTCCAGAGCAACCTCACTGATCATGACATAAATTCAAGGGAAAGGATTTCATGTCAAACATCATCTTCACAACAAATAGATTCCTCCCCCATGTTAAATAATCTTCCCTCTCCCAAGTATATCTGCTTTAGCAAGTCTCTTCTAGCTGATATTGCTGAACTGAGATACTAGCTAATGAGGGAGCTTACTATATTATGACAAGAGAATTAGTGAACTACCTCTACAGTATTCCCAGCCCCACCCATTAAAGCAGAAAACCAAGCCTAGAGTGTCTTGCTTGGTGGTACAAAAAACTGCTTCGACGCCAGTAGGAAGAAAATGTTAATTTATAATCATAATCAAATGGGGTGTCTCCTTATACAGGAGTTGGTATTACTGCCCTTACTATAAGCAAGGTGTTTTTTAATTTGCATTCTAAAGTATAGATTCTGTATGTCGTGTGTGTGGGGCAGCTGACAAAGAAACAGACAAGAGTTTGACATAGACAGCTTTGTAATGCGGCAAGTGAGTATATGTAGTGTCACTAAAGTGGGAGCTCCAAGAATTGAACGAGCGAATGTGTAGTGCATTCATTTAAATTCTGTATGGACAGTAATAATCTTAAATCAGCTAGCTCTCTCTTCAACAGTAGACCATAGCTCCAAGTATATGTTGCAGAGCTGTAATGATATAGTTCTCATGACCCGTGTAGTTTACCACCTCTTGCTCCTGGTCATCCTGTTTTTCATTTTAATCCAGCAGTGTATTTCTGCCACTTTTTTGCAACAGTAGCCTCAAGTCTTGGCAATACTTTCAAATTCTGCTTATCCCCTAAAAATTTTATCCCACGTTGAAGATTAACAAATTTTATTAGATTCCCAGTTGTTGGAATTATTTCCTTTATGCTGTTATAACATTTTGTCACCTCATGAAGTACTAACTATATTAATCATTACTAATACAGTATTAGTAATACATATCTAATACCAAATTAACCAAAGAACTCAAGAATTAATTATTCATCCCCATGTCATTATTGGCACAAGTGTAAGTATAGAAGAAAATATGTACCAAAGTGGAGAAAGCAGGGTTTTAGTGTGTGGTGGAGCAGAGACAGTATTGTATAAAATTGAAAATGTCTGTGTTTGGTCTAAGACTTAGGAGTGTGTACATGCTGAATGAACAAATACACAAGGCCATGTGGCAAACTAAGGAGCTGACACACAAGTGCAGGCTTTATCCAAATTTAAATAAACTAAATCATTGCACATATGACAATGCACAAAGCACTAACATTTTTCATTTTGGGTAAAAAATAATTTGTCCTGAATTATTTGCTACTGTTCTGGTTCTTATGTGAAGCTCTTGTCATTGCATTTTATAACTTAACAGTGTGTGCGGAGCTTACTTATGATTTCCACCAAGAATTTGAATTCCCCTATGATATGGATGTCTTCTAAAATTTTGGGGTGGGTAGAAAGATGCTGCAATTTTCTTTGTCTCATTCATATTGTCTACTGGATTTTCAATTTTGGATTCTGAGAAATATCTTATGTTCCTGGTCCTTGAACAGACCATTTTCAGATGTCACGTAATTTGCAGCAGGCTTGACATCTGTTATGTGGCTAATTAATACATCCAGAGAATGCAGTGCAAAGTGTCTGAGAGAGTAGAGTTCTGTGCATTGCCAAATAAAAATAAGTTAATTATTTTTGAATTCCCCCGTCTTCACTACATTTTAGCTGATAGCACCCCAGCGCACATCAAGAAGCAGCCTGATTTAATTTTGCAACAACTGTCTGCTCACAACTGTGTCCGCTTTAGCGATGAGTCAAAAGCTGAGGACAGAAAGTTTTAAAAATTCCAGCTGTCCAGACATTCACTGGATGCTGCCAGAAGTTACATTACATTGGTAGCCTTCTAGTTTCACATGTGAAAGTTCAATTTTTATATTGGATATTTGATATCAACCCGACAGAGGCACTGTTTAGAAATAGGAAGACATGATGCCTTTGCTTCATTTTTCTATAAAGAAAGAAGTTTCCCCATTATAATTAAATAAGATGTTATCCTAGGCTTTTACTGTGTTCACCAACTGGCAGATCTGGAATTGAAATTCGAATTATTAGGATTTTGTGCCATTCCCAATTAACAACAGTTTTTTCTCTCACTGGTCATGCTGCTAGGTTTATGTGCTCTCTTTCATGATGAATCTGTAGGTGCACCCTGAATAAGTGATCCTGTTCCATTCCTGCTTCATATTTGAGTGTACCCTTGATCTGTTCTGTCTGTTTAAAGTTCATAAGTCTCGTAACACAAATAAGAAGCCTCACCATAAAGTGCCTTTGTGGGTTCTTTTAAACTTTAAAGCTAGCAACGAGTAGGTGACTTAAAACCCATGCTTCTGCTCTCATGTGGCTGTCTCCCCCACACCTCTGAAATCAACAGAACAGTCTTCTATCTTACTCAGCACTTGTCCTTCTCAGTAGTTTTGCATTTATGCCATTACCTTCAGATAGCTCATTAGCTTCTGGGTCAGTTCGTCTGGTCACCTTAGCAAGTGTCACAGCATACAAATTAAGCATCTGGAGGGTCAGGGTATGACTGGAAATGTGTTTTGCAGATGGCCACTTTTTAAGCAAAGGGATGTAATATGTCAAAGATAGGAGACTTTGTGGTGACTGGAAATCTTACAGCTGTCTAAGGCAGGTGGTCTTAAACCCAGCTTCATTGTATTGTGGAAAACTGAGCTCAAACATGATGTTTCTCATCTGTCTTAGTGTCTGGGCGTGCCCTTTGTAAGTCATTTTCTCTGTATTGGATCATGCTATTCAATTTCCTATTAATACTCTTCCAAATGTAATTAATTTGTAAAAGCATTCCATTTCTGTGTTGTCAGAAACCTGTACTTCGCCAAGATTATCAGCCATGGTATATTAAGCTTGATTTGGAGCCTCTGAAATATGACCGTTCTAAATAACACTTTTAAAACTCCTTTTTGTCTTTAGTGAAAACAGGCACTGGACAGCAGTTAAACCAGAATGAAGTGGCAATCCTGCTAAATCTTCTACAGTCTAAATCAAGTGTTAGCATGGCACATTTTGCCGAAGTGTTGAATATTAAGATAAATGCAGAGACTCAGCAGCAACTAGATAAAATAAACATCCCTGCTGGTATTTTGGCAGCAGGTGAAAAACAGCCAGAGCAACAGCCGCCTCCACCACCACCTGAACAGGAGCCTTTGCCACAGCCCGCAGTCACTCAGCCGGCTGTACCACCTGCTCAGCTGACTCAGCCGAAACTGGAGACTGATGCTGCCCAGGCAGCTGTGCAGAGTGCATTTGCTGTTTTGTTGTCTCAGTTAATAAAGACTCAGCAAACAAAGCAAAAAGATCTTGTCCTAGAGGAGAAGGAGAATGGATCAGGAAATGAAATGTCGTTACAACTCAGGCAGCCTCCAGAGCCCCGCACTCCTGCATCTGATAACCAGGAGGACACGGAATCTCCAGCATCTGTTTACCCACATCTGATCAAATCATTATACTCATGTGCAGGTACTTACAGTTTTGAATGTTGATAAGTAGACATCTTGACCACCAGAGAGATTGACTTGGAGATAAGCAGCTAACAACATGCTTTGTACCCCGTGTATGCATGGTTATGCCATACCCATTAGCAAAACATGCACAGGAGCGATGACACTGAGGACGTGAGAAGTAATTTCATTTCCTTTTGTCACTTAATATCTTTATAAAACTTTCATAGATAATTGACTGATTTTATTATACTGTACAGACACAGCTTACTCTAAGGTGTAGACATGCAGTTATACTGGCACTGTGTTGTTGTTTGTATTATTATGGTAGCACCGAGATGCCCCAGGCAAAGTTGGGGCCTCGTTGTATTAGGTGCTGTACAAACAGTTGTTTTTTTAAAAAACAAAACAAAAAACAACTCTGAAAGTTTTACTGTCTAATATACATATACACCTGTTTGCTTTTCTGATGGAAAGTTTGGCAGCTTTTTTCAGTGTGAGGAATAACTGGTTTTGACTGGAAAAATAGATGTCTCCTTTAGTTAATTGTAGATCACTGGTTTACCAACTTTAACAGAGTCCCTTTAAGTAAACGCCTTTTGTTTAATTAACTACCGCATCAAAATTTGTCCATGCCTACTTCCTTTAATTACCTGACCAGTGTGTGCAAATTTTCCATTTTTGAAATGAATATGGTCAACTTAAAATTTTCATTAAAACACTATGATTTACATACATACTGTGCACACATTAAATGTTTAACTGATGGAGCTTCTCAAAGTTCTAATTCTTTTGTTGAATATCATGAGATTAGTATTTCAGCCATATGTCCTCAGTGCATTTTGGTTTACTTGTTACTAAATAGCATTGGCGACTCTGTAGAAGACTATTGTGAAGGAATGTAAAATCTCTACCATTACCATTTATAGCAGCCTTTCTGTCCCTTTCCCAAAACCCATGTCAGTATGGGCTTTGGCCCACATCTTTGGTGCACTTTCTGGTCCCCTTCTGGCATAACATCTGTTGCTACCAACCTCCTCAAGGATATTGTGCAATTCACACACACACCCTCCTCCCGTCTTTAAGTTAGCTGATCAGGTGTGCTTGCAGGAGTATCCTGGAACTCTCAGTTCTGAAAAACCTTTGAGGGTGGTCTCTTTTTGCGTCTCCAAAATGCCTTTTCTTAGATACTCTTAAATTTAATTAGTTGATTAACCTTTATTTTTTGTGAAGAAATGCAGTAGCAAACCTTTGTGAATTTTTGCAAAGTGTTTTTTCTTCCCCCTTTTGGTATGGTAATTATTTGTCAAACGTAATTTCAGATCTTGTTTTAAGGCTCTTCTTTTTAATCCATTTAGGTCAAGATGATTTGGTTAGACAGCCTGAGATGAGGCTTCTAAACCAAACACCAGAACAAGAACGCCCTCGCATCTTGCCCCCAGACCAGCGTCCTCCTGAGCCACCAGAACCACCACCTCTCACTGAAGAAGACGACCTAGATTATCGGACAGAAAACCAGCATTTGCCTATTTCTAGCTCTTCAGGAACGGATCCTCATGCTGGGGTGAAAGCTGCTCTTCTACAACTGCTTTCTCAGCATCAGGTTCAGCCAACTGAGGAACCAGTAACAACTAGTGTGGATTATCAGGCAAGAGACTCCTATGTAACTGACTACAAGGATAATTTTGGATCTTCTTTCTCTTCTGCCCATTATGGTGGTAGTGATGGAATAGGAAGTGGATCATCTGGGGCACTGGAAAGGAGAAGCTTCATTGGAAATTCAGATATTCAGTCTTTGGATAACTACAGTACTGCTTCATCTCACTCTAGTGGTGCACCTCCACCTCCTGCCTTTTCAGAACCATTTCCCAGCTCAGTAACTGGTTATGGAGACATTTACCTCAACACTGGTCCCCTGCTATTTAGTGGAGATAAGGACCATAGGTTTGAATATAGCCATGGCCCTATTGCAGTTCTGGGAAACAGTGGCGACACTTCCACAGGGTCAGAAAGTACTCATTCTTTGTCCACAAAGATGCACAACTATAGTTATGGAAGTAATTTACAAGAAAACCCTAGTGGCATTAGCCATATCCATGGACAAACTTGGACTTCTCCAGCCCAAGGACCTGGATATTCCCAAGGATACAGAGGACACATTAGCACATCAACAGTCAGAGGGCGAGGCAGAGGATTACCATACTGAGTATCTGTTTTTCCTCAGGCACATCATTTTTATCTGGAAAGACTTTTTTTCTAGCTGCAGTTTAAAGCAGCAATCCAATAGACTTGAATAATGTTAATTCAACAGCTTTATTTTTATGTGGAAAAGGGTCTTGCATACAGTAGGAAAATTTAAACTGCTTAAAACTCATGCTGTCTGAAAACTAGATCAATTGAGTGTACATGTTCACAAATTCTAGTTATGAATTTTATTTTGTATTTTGGCAGTTTTAAGTGGATGCTAAATTTAGGGACATCAGCTTTTTATGGCACTCTTTCAGATCTTCTGAACTATGCACATTTGTGCTTTTTTTTGTAAGTTTGGACCAACTTTTATGTAAAAAATTTTACAACAATCAAAGCAGGGCACTGATTTATTTGGTATTTTTCTTTTTACAAAACTACCTTTAGTCAAAGGTCACTGTCAGTCTTTGCACTGCTTTCAGTGTTATTGTGGAAGGTGTACTTTGTGCTCATTTCAGATAATAAAACACAACCTTTCTCTTGATGCAACAATTTTATAAATATTTGGTCAATGTTATTTTTTTCTTTAAAAAAAAAAGATGGTGTAGTAAAATGTTTCCCCATCTCCCAGACATGTTTGTATCAAAACTGTTTTACTTGAATGGTAAGTGCCTTAACGTGTAAGTTTAAGGTCTGCAAAAATTCTCTACATTTTTCTTATAAAGGAAATTCCCTTTCTTTAAGGTTATTTTGTAGCGTGATTCAAAGATTAATACTTAAATATAGATACACTACATTAAAACAGAGATAATTATAGGCAACTTGGATAGAGCGCATTTTAAAGTGGCATATTTGCCATTTATGTCAGCTAAGCCAATTTAGTAGGTATACTAAGTTTTCTCTTCATTGAAATGACCTTCCCCAAACTGAATTTACTGAGAGAATGTCAATGTGAAGACATTAAAGAAAGGTAGGTTTCCCTCAACTTTTCTCTAAAAGCTGTATTAACTTCTGTAGTCCTCTGCCAAATAAGATCTACTTTATACTGAGCTATGGATGGTAAAATAGACTGTAAAGAAGACAATGAGAGAAATCTTTTTCTTCTATGTCATTGGTGATAGCTAATGAGTTTTGTGTGGAAAGCTGACACTGTCTCCTCTTTTACCACATATAAAAGCATTATGGAAAGCCTCCAAGGTTAAAGACCAGTATTTAATGCAACATAGAAAATTTAGCCGTTCAAATTTTCTGGAAACTGGGATTGTGCCAATTAATCCTTTCTATATTCAGCTATTCCATTGATCATTGTAATACTTGATTTGAACAACAAAAAAAATTACTGTAGCTAAAATTGCTACCAGAAGCCACCACTCCAGTTTTATATTAGTTATACTTTCCAGCATGTTTTCCTCTGAGAACAGCAGTCTCTCTCTCTCCTGCAGAGAGGGGATATGGCTATATTTTCCATGTACTGAAAAGAATGTTTCATAGCCCATATTGGATACAATTTTCCAACTGATTATCCAGTTGATAAATTGATACATTATGTAACAGTGTTTAATTACTTTTAAAAAGGTAAAATTTCTACTTACACTAGTACCAGTAGAGTCATGTCAGTGACGTCTTGGATTTTCAGATTAGAAGCCAAAGTTGTCTATTTCATTTAAAATTCTGGTTCTAATTTATGACTAATTATTGCAGCATACGGTGTGAAGAACATTAAAATGTAGCTAAATAGTGTTCAAGTATCTGCAGTTGCATCATGGTGAGTCTTATCTCTTTAGACTTCCCTCTAAATCTCATAGTTATCCAAGTTCTTCTCATCAGCCACACTAGAGAATCCTGCTGTCTGAAAATAAAAGCAGCTAAGCTGGAAACAAATATTTGTGACCTGAATAGCCTGTGTTTAAAAGAAATTAAACACTTTATATAAAATGACACTGTGTTTGAATAGTTTTTCTTGAGTTAAACACATATTAGTATTTTTTGCAGGAGAGAATAAATGCAAGCAAAATAGTGTTAGTATTGTCGTGTTCAGCTATAGCGTCTTACCATTTTTATAAAAGTATGCTCAGATAAAACAAAAGCCAGGCTCAACAATAACAATCTAGCAAAAGTTAGGTGTAAAATCTGACAAAAGGCTTTCAAATCCATATACAACCTTTGTGGCAAGAAATGCATGGTCAAATATTAATGTGTACTGCACTTCAAAAAAAATAGCCTTGTGAGACTTCCCTAAGAAGCAGGTAAGTCCAAATGAAAAGTAGATGATAAAGAACAAATTGGGAATAAGTGATTTTGACTTTCAAAAATAAAATGTGAGGAAGAAATCATACCTCTTACAGCTTCCTGCATAGAGGTAAACTTTCAAGTCAGATGATACACTTATTTCACCTAAGTTTCTGTAAAAAGCCAGCCTCTCTTGTCCACATAAATAGTAATAGAGCAGTTTGATTTATGAACTGAAATACTGAGACAATTAAGGTGTTCCATGTAGTTAGAAACTTTGGCATGTTAATGTATTGGTTGGTATCAAAACATCTGACTAATTTTAGACTTTGATCTTGACTGAATAAGAATAAAAGAGCACTTGAAAAGGACACAAAGCTGATTTCCAAATGACAACAAATGCATTAAGATTTAGCAAGTCGATTCACATGCCATTGCTGGTATATGTATTGCACAGTGATTTTCTACTAATTTTAGTTCAAGAAATACTGGCCTAACATTTGAAAACCAATGGTCCACACTGTTCAAATAATTCAGAAAGTCAGGCTGAATTACTCAGCCACAATAATCTTGCCTCTTTTAAAACCCAGGCAATAGATTTCTCCCACTTCCAGCCCTTGTATGACATTTTGCTATCCTGCAAGGGTCAGAACAATTTTAGGTTATGAGCCCTATGTCGCTCCCCTTACAAGCAGCCAAGATAATGAGGTCATGTCTCCATAGTGTACAGTTCTCTAGCAATCCCAGCCCTCAGAAGGCTGCAAAAAATGAGAGCAACCCCCGTGGCTGCTCTAAGATGTGCCCAGAATATGGGCAGTGCAAAAATGGCTCAAAGTTACTTTGCCCCCTATCCCCTTGGGATTACATCTGTGCTGCACCTCCTAGAAGTACTGCAGAGAATTGGACCCAACATCAAAAAGTGTTTTTCTCTACCATCCAGATTAAAGTATTTGATCCTGGACCTATTCCACGGGTTGAATAGTTAATTTTGAATGAAGTGGTCTCCAACATTACCTGGAGTAAAAAAATGTAAAACACATAGTACTAGTATGACAGGCATAACAATTTGCACTAATAGGATATTACATAACTTCAGCCAAATGAAAAGGAGAGAGAGACACTAACATAAAAACAAATTCATGATCCTAGGATAAAGTAATCCTGAGTAGAAGAAACAGGAGAAAAAGAAAAAAACCTACAACTTTTCCCCCCATCCAGGTAACTAAAGCTGATCTTTAAATGCAAATGTAATTGCTAGAAAATTAAACTTATACATTTTAAAAATTGCATATTTATATTTTTCATACCTATTCCATACATATTTAATTACTATTACCTTTTATCATCCTAAGCATCAGATGCTTAACGAAAAACAGAGGTGGAAGGAGTTTTAATGTAAACTATTGATGCTTTGAGTTTGCTTTTCCTGTTATATTTATATCAGGAGTTAGTGCCAGTCTGAAAAAAGTTATTAAAGGCCCATCAGTTGCTGAGATTTATAAATAAGCTGTAAAACTAATCTTAAAACTAGCACAGGTAACTTTCATGCAATTGTTATTCAGGCTAAAACTCCGTTAGGTCCCAAACTACAAGATCTGGCCCCATGTTTCATTTCCAGTAGAGGAAATAAATTTCAGCCAAACTTTTTGAATTTTTGTTTTAGATTGAAGAGAAAAATAAACCACTTCCAAAGGATGAAAAGTCTCAGAATTGAATTATGTCGGTGGAAAAATCTTGGTTAATGATTAAAATTGTTTGAGGCAGTATTAATGTGTTCTGTGCAGTTAAGTATGCCATTAAATAAAAAAAATTGCCAGAAAAGTGATTCAGATCTAAACTGTCATATTTAAAAATTAAGTGCTGGACTTAAATTCAAACTAATTTTCACTGAACAAGGTTAAGTATTCTTATCATAGGAATTATTTTAGGGCAACAAAATTTAAAATACTGAAACTGTTAATTCAGCTTACTTATTGTTGATATTTCTTTAAGCCATTTGTATATAAGATGTATTGAGTAGCCTGTAAATAAAATACCATGAGAACTTCAGCCTTTTTATCCTTGTTTTCCCTCCTTGAAAATCAAATGGCCTATCACAAAATTATTTTACATTTTATTATGATGGAATAGGTTGACTCGCCATTCATTTTGGAATCCCACACCTTCAGTAGCGTTCAGTATATTAAAATCTGTAAGCCATCCATTGCTTTTCAAAGCCAGGCAGTCACCATACTCAATTTGTATATCTAACATTCATAATTTGTGATAATGGGAATGGAATATTAGTACTGCAGTGCTGATGTCACTAACCCATTGTTCACAGGATACTTAAGACTTCAAAGCCAAGTGAAGTGTCACAACTACCAGAATAAAGATAACCTGATTTAATTTCATTTTTTTCCATGTATTTTACATAGTGAAACTGATCAAGAGTCAGTGGGGTCAGGTTAGTAAAAAGAATTCTTTAGTTAGCAGGCCAAATGAGAAGATTTCAGTGTGATTTTTAACATACCAAGTTCAAATGGCATGAAGAGGTCTTGAATTATGCAGGGTTGGAATCTATTGTAGAACAAAGGGATACATTATTTTACACTTCAAAGCAAGAACATGGGAGAGGTGCAGATCTCTTCAAGGAATTAGGTGACTGTCTGGAGAACCTGCTGCCTGAGCTGTTGGTTGCTCTCCTGGAACATAGGATATGTAGATCAGTGAGGTATTTTAAGTAAAATACTAGGGATGTACAAGTAGAGGTGCAGACGAGCTTTTTTTTCTCGAGCCCGCTAAAAGGGAGGATCGATGCATAGGCCAAAATTGATAAAAGCTCCAAATCAGTAATCCAGACTTTTTTTAATTTCTGAGTTATTTTCATACCATGGTTGAAGAGAAATGCACAAATCTGGCATGACTTCTAACAACAGCCCTTTCTACACTAGGATGACTTATGAAAAATATCCACTGTTCACATTTTTAGTGCCATTGCTGTTACCAGCACTAGGACAACTGCTGCTGCAGCCGCTACAGTGTTAAGGGTTTAGCCTTGCAGCTGTCCACCACCATTCTATCAAAGTTGCTAACACAATTGAAGCAGAACCAATGCAAGGAAATTGAAAAATGGATCTAATGTAGACAGTGTCAATAGGTCATTTTTACCCGGAGATTTTTCTTTAACAAACTTCAACAGCATGACCATCTCTACAGGGTAGCGAGGTAGGAAAGTCTACAGACTAGGTTTCATTTTCCTTCTAAATAAATGCTAAGTATTATTCACAGTGTATTTAGATGGAGTACTTTCTTTCTCTGGTGCAGGGGGGCACGTGATGTACATGTGAGCTAGTCCAGCACACACAGAGCTAGTCAGTAGAGAGGCAGGAAATGTGTGAATCACAACCTAAGGAAGCATCTGATGTCAGGAAAAGGAAGCCTTGCTACCAACTATAGTGGAAACCTGAGTCTTCGGTCAAAGATTTAGGCTGTTTCTTCTTCAACTGCTGAATGGAAATTGTATCAAGGCCTATGGGAGAGAAACAAGCAACAACAACATAGACTCCTTATTTCAGTACAGAGAACTCTGAGTTACAAAGGTTAGTAGTATAACAGGATGAAATCAGTTGACAAGAAACAAAGGCAAAGTAACTTGAGCTGTAAACTGAAGCATTTTAGTTTTCAAAGAACCATTATGAACAAATGAAGTGGTGTTACAGATGTTACACGGATGTGCTTTCTTTTATAAGGAATAGTGCATGCAGTTATCCATACACTCATCATTTGAAGCATCTCTAGCAAAC